GGCGGTAATTTAAAAATAATTTTAAAATTATCAACTGAAGCAAAAGAGATAAATTAACAGTTAGTCTCAATTTTATTATAGCTTCTCTATGGCCTCCACAATTTTAATATTGTTAAAAAAGCTCTTGAAAACAACAGTACATGTAGTGTTCAACCCTCTTGATTAAGATGAAGCCATTTCAACTGTGTAAAATACTGCAATTGGGCTAAATTTACATGGAAAAAAGCATAAATTTGAGACAAACGTGTAAATTTGGACTGCTATAGTTCTCTTGCTATCTCCTTTTATCCAGTAGCCATAATTTTCATTCACATGGCTTCTCACATGGCAACAACATATACAAATCAGCATCTACAAAAACCTATCCCTCATACTATGCTGTTAAAAAATCAAACTCATCTACCCTTACCAAGCAGTTGAAAAGGTAAATATACCCTGATATTCAGATTCAAGCATTATTTAAATAGCAGGATGAACCTTTTGATTCTGAAATTTTGCTCCAGCCCCATTTGGTGCATAGCTCATTGCATTGTATGCTGCTGTTGCAACAGAAGGAAGCACATATGCATATGGAATACCATGAAAACCAGAGAAGAAAACACCTAAAAGTTCAAGTTAAAGAAATCTTACTAGGACTAAGTAAAAGAAATCATAGTGGGAATAGAATTGCAGTATCATAAATCTGAATAGAAAAATTGGTCAGGAACAATGATAAAGATGCCACAAAAAATTATATCTTGCATCTTAAATTTCATAAAGACAAATGACAAATAATAGAGAGAGTGTTTTGAAAATCAGAAAATATCTTGACATGGTTCATGCAATCTGCAGGACTCTTTCATGACAAGAAGGTGGACCAGCAACAACAAAATCAGAAATTTTGACACAAACTTCTCATGTGCTTCAAAGTGCTTTCTACATTAGCATCTAAGTTCAAATTTGAAAACCACAGAAAGGCTTTAACAAAGCAGTGGTGCAGTGCCTATTATCTTCTTCAAGCAGTTATGCCATTTACCATTGAGGAGCTCATAGTGTACAGTTTAGTCCAGCAATTCAATATGCGAGAATAATCTTCTTCTTCTTCTTCTTTATTTATTTATTTATTTGTTTATAGAGTAGGATGTGGTTAAAAAAAGCACAACTGCTGCTTAAAGAGAAAGCTCCAATGGAAAACATAAATTTGAAAAAAGAATATGCTGGACACCATAGAAAACATGAAATGTAAACAAAGATACCATTGAGACAACAACAGATATAAAGCTAGTACTATACAGAAAGTGGGCACCAATTTGAATATAGAAAACTGACCTGCATATGAAAATGGAGTATGAATATTCTGCAAATAGTGAGGGTCTTCAATTAGCTTGGATAGAATCAAATCAACCGCTCGCATCTGCTCATCTATGGTGCCAGTCAAAGTCACTAGCCTATCATTCAACCCATAATAATTATTGTCCTGAGGAGATATCTTAATGCTGGCTTGGGAATCTTCAATAAATGACCTGCATGAAGGAAAACATAAATTTCAGCTCCTGCCTTCTGTAATATGTTCAAGATAGCAAGCACAAAAGGGACTGCAGAACATAATTAATTACTTCCCAATCATCAAATATGAAAATTGTGAAAATTCATAAACCATCATGCCCCAAGAGCAGCTCTTACTTTATTGTAGCCCCTCCTTTCCCAATTATGCTGCCACATGAGCTATTGGGAACAATTAGCCTAAGTTTTGTTCTTGGTTCAACATCGTCACCATCTTCAATATGAAGCTGACAAAAAAAATAAAAAAAAAAAAGTTAACAAGAAAAGTTAATAGAAGTACTAGCCGTTAAATCTATATCATGAAGGCTACCTCACTCAACAGTTTAACAAGGATAAGATCCAAAGCTTTGAGTACATCATCGATTGTCCCAGAGATCATAATAATTCTATCTGATGTTCCTGGAAAGAACTCATGATTGCGAGACAACTGAATCCGAGCTCCTGACTTTGACTGAAATTCAGTAATTGTTGAGCCACCCTTTCCAATGACAGAACCAGCTGCAGCATTGGTCACAAGAAACCTGATATATGTAGATTTCTCCACATGATCTGATGGAAGGAAGAACAAGAGAAGAAAATCATCATTATCATTATTATAAATAACAAAGTAGATACATTTTTATATTTCTGAAGAATCATTTCTGAGATCATTCATAAATTCATAGTATGTAAGATAAATTATCAGGATTAAGTCCATTTTCGAGTAGCTTCTCACAATTGCGAAATAAATTCTCAAACATTGTGAGACATTCTGTTTTAAACAATAACTCTTCTGTCTTCAACACGGCATATGTACGTTGCTTAAAACTCGCTACTGATTTCAGTAATTTAATACAAAAAACACAGTATTCAGCCAATCTAAGACACTATCATTCACACCACATCACAGCCTCTCACAATGTCAAAAACTAAAACGGATCAACGCCATTTACTCTACAAGGAAACTGACAGCCTCCGAACGAAGAAATAAGATCAGATCAGAGATTACCAGAAGCAGGTGATTTCGGGTGCGGCGGAGGAGGAGATCTGTTCCTCGGCGCCTCCGGTGATGAAACGTAAGACGACTCCGTCGATTCCATACTCTCCTCGTCCTCCTCCTTCTACACACAGATAGCGCCTCAGTTATCAGCACACACACAATACAGACTCAAACGGAAAGCTAAACAATGTCCATTGCCAGAGCACTTTACCAGTAATTGAGATTTCGTGATGAATTGACAGTTGCAGGAAGAGATTGATGATTGTTTGGTTTGAGTCGCAGCTGTTTTTTGTTGGAGCTGGAGATGTTGGATCTTTCTTTTGGTATCTATCAATCTGTTCTCTGTGCGTGATTAGGGAGGGGTGGAGATGGGTGTGTTTGTTTAAGCAGCCGTGAAAACCGCCTCTCAAGTATTTATTACCTATCTCCCTTGCTTTTCAACACGTAATGAAAGATCGGTGCGAAAGCCATCATACAATGGCAGCGGCCCACAGGGTTGCGCCCACGCTAGTATGCTAAAAAAGAATAATAATAATTATTATATTTTTATATAATTTTATGTATAAATTAAATAATTAATTTTTTTATTTAATTAAAATTCATGATAATAAATATATATTCATTTAATATATTTAATAATTATTTTAAAAAAAATAATATAAAAAAATTATCTTTGTACCATCCCCCAGATCCTATCCCGTCGTCCTCACAATCTTGCCAGCTTGGTGTACCATGTGAATTTCAACCCGTTC